CCCCAAAACCCCAAAACCCCAAAACCCCAAAACCCCATGTAATAGAAATTTTTTTACTCAAGAGTTTTTGGAAGTTAAAAAAAAATTAAAATAAAATATTCATACTATGAAAGGTTATCTAACACCAATTCTGTGCGCTGAATCATAGGTCTGTGCGCAATGTCCATTAAATTTTTTGAATAGCTCAGGATCATTTTAGTATGCAGATAGATATTCTTTGTTAGAGTGCATAGCGTAGAGCTGTAATTCATTAGAAAAATTACAAATGCTCTTTCTTTTATTCAGAAGTTTGGTAACTAGTCGACTGTTATTAGGCAATTTGCCACTATGAATATTGTCTTAATGGTTAATTAAGTTGTGAGTTACACTGCTTCGATTAATTACACTTTTATTGTTCTCATCATTGTAAAGAATCTCAGTCCAACCTTTGTCTGATTAAGAAAAGAAGTTATAGGATGTTTTATTTAAAAAACTCCCTCTGAATTACTCATCAATTTAGCCAGTTTTCAATTAGTCTTTATCAATAACTATTTCAACAGCTTGTGGCTCTGGCGGGTAGTGCCCAATTATGTCTGTTCCAAGTTTAGTCCTTGAGTGTTATTATGATGCAGGCCTCCTTAGTTTTGGCATAGTAATTTCTTTTGGAGTAGGAGCCTCTTATTAGGTGACATTTATTTATGATTGATTTGAACTGAGAGTATTCCTCTTTTTTGTGCATCCTACAGCCCAATTTTATGTCTAGTCTTGATATGAAGCCTATCATTATTGACTTTCAGTTCTTCTTTACTCGTTATCTCTGTACATATCAATATTCCTAATTGGGTCTTTCTTAATGAAGTTGATATAGACATCTCTCACATCCTAGCCAGTCCCAGCTTCACGATACGGTAGAATCCTTACAGGGAAACTATATAATTAAAATAAAGCAAGTGATTATTATGATTACTTTGTGACATGAGAAGGCTTATAAGTTCCAAACGATCTCTAAATCAAAGTCAGTTTCTTAGGTTCAAAGTTTGATTAATAAGCATTATGTTTGAGATTTGCTATTGTACTCTCAGCAATGTTATTTTGGCTAAGAACAGAACCTGGTCTTGATAAATGAGCACTGCTAAGTGGTCTTTGAGAATGGTTTCTGTTACGATGTTGCTGTCTCAAATTTTTCATTTTTAGAGAATACCGATAATATTTTTATTAATATTTTGTAATATTTTATTAATTTGAGGAGGAAAATGATAAAGAAATCGTATGACTCGCTAAAATACACTCGATACAATGAATATCACATGATTAATGTCTGGGCTTCCAACGACAAAAGAGAAGCAATCATCAAAAGAATGCTTCTCACAGATAAAAACTTTAAACTAACTTCACTGCAGGTGAACCCTTTGTATAAGCCCGTTTTCGATAAATTAGATGCTCTCGCAGTTAAGTAACTAAATGAACTTGATAAATCAGTGCTTTGGTCAAGACACTATACCAAAGCTGAATTCAAGTTTACTTTTGCTTATCCTTTAGTGGTATTTTGTGTGATTATATTCTTCAGTATATCATATGGTGTTAAGTATCGACTCTATGCAAATTACATAAGGTATGGTAGAGAGCTTGAGTTGGCTGAAATGATGGACATTGATCTTGATGACATCAGCTAATACCCTAAGTCAGTGCTAGAATTATACAAAGAAAAGAAGAAGCACGATGCTTATACTAAAAATAAAGAGAATAAGATTAAGACTATTGAATAAAATTTCCATACATTTGTGGAAAAGCGTATTATAGATACAGCAGAGTATAGAAAATCAAGAGGATTAAGAGTAAGAGCTAGAGAAAATTTAGAAAATTCTAACCCTTCTTGATGATTTGATAATATATCAATAATTTAATTAAATTTCAAATATAAACAATCTAGGAGTTGATCTTATAATTTATTAATCTTAAAAATGCAAAGTAATGATCATCTCATGAAGTCACTCGATGAACTTATCGCTGAGGACAAGACACCCAAGAACTTTAATAAATTCAGCAAATATGGCCAAAATGAAGGGTTTAAGCCTAGAAGAGATTATAATACTGGCTTTCAATCCAAGGGAATTCAAAAGAATAAGTCTTTTGAAGGTAAGAAAGGAATATTTAAGGGACACTAGAAAAGTTTCAATAGAGATAGAGATGACTTAAGTAGCAAAAGACAATTTAGCAAACCATAGTAAAGAGATACTTAAGCTAGTTTTAATCCATGGACTGTTGATTCTAAAAAAACTACAGAATAGCCAGAAAAGCAATTCAAGGGTTTGAGTTAAGGAGGTGCTCAAGTCAAAATTAAAAATCTCCACTACGAAATCACTGAAGACAAATTGCAAGTAAGTGTGAATTATAAGTGAATCTGTATTTACCTTTTTTATTATTATAGGAAGTATTTTCAAAGTATGGAAGAGTATTCTCATGTGAAATCTTGTGGGATAAGCATGATAGATCTACCGGAGAAGCTCTAGTAACTTATGAAGTTCCTAGTGCAGCTGAGTTAGCAATTACTGAGCTAAATAAATGTAAGTAGCTCATTGTTAAGCTTTTCTCATTCATTCATCATTGATATTAATACCTCATTTTTAGCATCTTTGGATGGTCAAGTTGTGTATGTTTCTAGAGTTTACTGATGCTTTGACATAATATCAATTAACTTAATTCAACTTATTTCATTTCAAGCCTTGCAGAATTATTTGATAGTTGTTTTGCGGGGTTTTGGGGTTTTGGGGTTTTGGGG